GCAAGCTACTTTATCTCCCTGGAGCTCTTATTTCTCATCCATAAAATGGTGCGTGAGTTTCCTATTGCTGCTGTAACATATTACCACAACCTAACTGGCTTAAAACAGCACAAATTTATTTTTTTACAGTTTTGGACATCAGAGTTCTGGAATCAGTTTCACTGGGCTAAAATCAAGGTGTCAGCAGGTCTGCATTCCTTCTGGAGGCTCTAGAGGAGAATCTATTTCCTTGCCTTTTACAGATTCTAGAGCTGCATTCCTTGGCTCCTGGCTTCCTACTCTATCATCAAAGTCAGCAGCATAACATCCACTCACCTCTCTAATGTCTGCTTCATTCCTCACACTCTCTCTTTAGTCCTCCAAGCACCCTTCCTCCCTCTAATAAGGACCCTTATGATTTACACTGGGCCCACTCTGAATAATCTATGATAATCTCCTCATCTCAGAATCTTTAACTTAATCACACATGCAAAGTCCTTCGAACCATGTAAGTTAACATATTCAATTTCTGGGGATATGTACCTGGACATCTTTGGGGGGCCAATAGTCATTCTACTACAAATGGATACGATAATTTTACATATTTGATAGAGTGATTGTGAAAAATAAATGAGATAAAGCACATAAGGCACTTGGCATATTTTTTACCACAGTCTAGCTTTACAAATATTAGTTGTTAAGACTAAAATGAGCCTGTACAAAGAGATTTTTTTCTGGAAAAAAAATAGGCAATTTACACAGGAGGCTTATTGGAAAGTTTTAAATTCAAATCAATGATTAGTGAGAGAAAATATGTAAGTTTTCCTCATTTGCTTCCTTATTCTGATGAATTAATACATTCAAATCATATTTAACATAAAGAGTTAAATTTTAAATCTTCACCAGAGATATTTACTTTCCATTAAATGAAATACCAGTTAAAACCATGTTCTTAATGCCTTTAGTCATTTACATCAGTAAATTGCCCCTTCCTTCCTGAATGTCTCTTCTTTTATTTTGTTATTTTCTCCTTCGAACAGGAGATAGAACAACTGGATCCCTTCCAGCAGCCTTATTCAACTTTCACTAACCTTGGAGACTGTGGTTCTGGAATAAAAGTGGGTTTCATTACACCACGCTATAGTAGGAACCCTTCTAGGTATAAGTGGTAAAAAGCCAACTGTTTCTTTTTTTTTTTAAAGCAGGAAGTGGTAGTGGTGGGAATTTATGGCTCATGTAACTGAGTTGGATACTATAATGTGGCGACCAGGTTGAATTTCAAGAATGAAGGACTTATTCCTCTGTTGTCAGCACCTATAGGGATTGTCTCAGTGAAGAGAGCTGTCTTGCTCAAGATCATTCAGTCGGCCCAGCTTTATATCTCCCCATAGGATTGCTGAGGCTTTACTGTGACCACATGATAATTCAACTTCTCCTTCTGCCCACTACTGCTTTCTTATCTTTCCATTTCATAGCTGTTTTCCTCCAAAGGCTTCCTCTAATAAAACTCCTGAACACTAATCGCCGTCTCAGAGTCTGCTTTCCAGAAAACCCAATCTGTAAGAATAACTGATATGTCCAAGTGTCTCAGGCAGATCAGACCTGAGAATTCAAACATTGTCTTCATATTTGTCTCCACGCCTTTCCATCTTTCCCCAGCTACTGATTGGATTTGTTTTTTGTTGGCATAATTCTTATGCAGCTTCTTAGTCAAGGTAATAGAGATGATCTATGGCAGCAGCAAGCATACATCATTGACAAGCGTCCCTAACAACTCCCTCCTCATGCAAATAATTCTAATTGGCCTTGTTTGGGTCAAGTGCCCACCCCTGGGACAATTACTGTATCCAGGGGGATGAAGTCCTTTCACTGGTCATCCTTAGGCAAGGAAAGTGGAGCCAAATGACTCAGAAGCATATAGAGCGGCAGCATGGCAGTTCTGGAAAGAACAGCATGTAGAGCAGAGATGAAAGAAACAGAAATCCATTTTTCATCATCACCAGGAACAAGTCTCATTAAGAATCTTGGTGTAATAACACACCTTCTTTTCTTCAGCAATTTCACACACCCTGCTTGGAATAAATTAGAAACCTAATTTTTTAGTTTAAGAAATCAAGGAATTATGCTTAGAATGCAAAGTTGGGGGTTTCCTGAAAACTTAGATCTGCCTCTTTCTTTTTTTCTTAGCCAGATGTGTTTAGGATTTTAATCACAAGCCCAGGGGTGTGGGTCTTTATTGCCACCTGGAAGAAGTGAGTACTTTCTTACATTCACCACAGTGTAGCTTGACACTAACCACTTAGAAGACAATGGAAACCAAAGTAGCTGGGGAGATAAACTGTTAGCTAATGCATAGAGGTTCAATTTTCTTCACTCTCCATGTCCAGTCAACCAATACCTGTTGCTCTTTTATCAAACTCTCTGCCTGTCTTTCCAAGACCAGTGCACATTGCAATTTACTAGAACAGTTTTCTCAAAAGGGAAGTTACTTTCCATAAAAGAAGATTTAATTTTCATTGCAACTGATCTCTTTTCCTCCAGCTATGAAACTGAGGTTCTTAATGCTCTCAAGAAATCTCTACTTACAACCTTGTGATTACTTTTATAAAGGAGAAAAAAAGCAATAGGAGGGAATGTTTGATTACTAATGGAAAATATTCTTTTTTTATTATTTTTTTTATTATTCTTTCTTTTTTTAATTTTCTTCTCAAATTGTGGAGGGAGGGGAAGGGAGTTGGAAAATATTCAAGAAATAGATTCATGTGAAACAAGAAACATTATTTCCTAGTATATGAATATGCATGGTCCCCTTCCCATTGCTTCTCCAGCAAAGCATAGGCATCAAGAAGTATATGACAAATGTGGAAGAAATTCAAAGATCTAGATAGGATAAGGGAAGATGGATCAATAATCTGAGAAAGAGAAAATGGGGGAGAAGTAGAGAAGTGAAGACTTTAAATTTCAAAGAGTTCAATGGAGCAGCAGTCATCCCTATGGAAGAGTTTGAGAGTATCCTAGATAGGGAGAGCAGGTTTTTAAGGTGTTTTATTCCTCATTAGACATATATGCCTTGCTTAGTGAATTGCATGAGAAAGTGAGTACAGGTCTGAATTACTTTTTATATCTGGTAAAGTGCAGTCAGAAAAACAGAAACCACCATATTTTGACAGAGGGAATTTCATACTAGGAATTTGTTCCATGGATGATGTGAAAGTGGAAAATTCCAACATGGATATAGAAGCAGCATAAATATTAACAACTACAGGAAGTGGTTATAACACTTGGAGGTGGATGAAGACTGGGAGGAGGTAGTGTAACTCAATCCCAGAAGCCAGGACCATCTGGTAGGAGCTAGAACTACAGTGATGATGGCCAGCAAGAGCTCATGCCACAGAGGTAAAGGCTGACTGGTGAGAGCTGATGCCTCAGTGAAAATGCAGTCACTTCAGAGATGCCACTTGAAGCAGAAAGCCAGTGGAAGAAACACTGTGGCTTCTCTCCTGCTTCTCATCCTCCAACTTGACTGAACATACAAGAAACCAGAGGGCCAAGGAGCCTGGCAAATACAATTCTCTCTAAAACAGAGCAGAAAAAGTAAAGGGTGAGGAATAGATCCAAGAGCAGAGAAGCAAATACCTGGCACACGTTTTGATTGTCTGTTTCTTTGAATTCATCTCTGCGTGAAATGGAACCATGAAATTAATGTCCCTTTATGTGGGTTACATATGGTCTGAGAGAAATGGAGAAGGTCACAGTTGAATATCTTTCTTTAGATACTAAAAAGAAAAAAAAAATGTTATTTTATTTTACTAATTGTCATAATTCTGGAGGCTATCTTAAGTAGACAACAACCAAAAGAGTTCATGCCTCTCCTTTTCTTTTTTCTTCTCTCATTCCCTTTTGTTCCTCCAATTTCTTCTTTTACCTCTCTAATAAGTAACCCATGTACAATTAGTCAACTTTGATCTCATAGTGGAGTTGCCATCCTGCCCTCTTATCCCTTTCATGTCCTGAAGACTGGGTAATAGTCAGACAAAAAAAAAATGCAAAATCTGGCTTTTGGCGTCTACCACATCTGACCTACCTTTGTTCTGACTCTGTTTATATATCTAGCCTATAGGATGAAATGTCTGCCTGGGAACACTATAGTCATCTCAACGTGTTAGTGTATTTGTTATATTTTCATTTCCTATAGTGTATTTGGAGTGATTTTGGATGAGGTTGGCATAGTCAGGCTTTTTTTTTTTTTTTCTAGTATCATGGTTAAAAGTATAGCCAAATTGCTTGGGTTTTGAATCCCAGCTCCACTATTTCCTAACTGTGTGACCTTGGCCAAATAACTTAGCTGCTCTGGGCTTCAGTTTCCTCATCTGTAAATGTAATCATAATAATAGAACCTATATTATACAGGTTGAACTGTTAAAATCAAATGAATTATGCATACTGAATTTATATATGTGTGTCTTTGTATGTAATATACACATATGTATCAACTCATATTTACGTATATGTGTGTGCATATATATGTGTGTATGTACACACATACATACATATCTTAGAAAATTGGCACAATGTAAGCATTCTAAAATATCAACCATCACTATTGTTATTATTTTTCTCAATAAGACTGAAAATGCTGCTTCAGCCTTTAAAAGATACCACACCTATTTAATATTTTTCACCCAGCACCAAGTCATGGCAAGTTGGGTGATTTTTTTAAAAATTTCTAGTTGATAACTTATTAGTCAAAAAGTTAATTCGCTGTATAAAATACATCTCATGAATTACACTGTTATTTCTCTCTCAGTTGTAGAATTTAGTTTCATTCATTTCTCACTATGTTTAGATTTGATTGGCTCATTACACAGACCCCTTTTCTCTAGCTTTTTGTGGTTTAAAGATCAAAATTTTTTATGAAAACAAGCCTTTCAGTTGACCAATGATTAGCTAATTTCTGATAGTTGAAAAGGACACAGATTGCCCCAAGGCGCTGTTTTCATTTCCTCATGAGAAGAAGAAGCATAGCAGAGAAGAAAGACAGACACAAGGCATTGAACCTCTGCCACCATGGGGAACTGGGCTGTGAATGAGGGGCTCTCCATCTTTGTCATAGTAAGTACCAATAAGATATATTATGAATGCTCTGACTTGTCTGGGTTCTCTTGGAAACTAAAATAGAACAAAACTTTTGTATTTGTTTGTTCGTTTGTTTGTTTTTGTTTCTTTGAGAAATTGTGTTGAAACTGATTTACTGTGTGAAAATACATTCATTTATAAGCAGACTGAGTCCATTCTAACAAATTTATTATTGAAAAGATTATAACTGGGGGTCACTTCACCTAGTTCATTTCTTGAGTTTTTAGGAGTACTAAATTAGCCAGCATTTCACAGAGGGAGTAGAAGATATTTCGTGATAATGATATGAGTCTGAGTTGTTTATTAATGTTTACTCCAAGGCAAATTTCTACTTTTTATGTGTTTATACTACTTCAAAAACGGGAAATTGAAATTTTATACTATTTTCCAAGTAACAAGTACAAGACTGACTCATATATGGAAAGTTGGCCTTTATTTCAGTAATTACGCCAAAAATAATTAAAGTTATTAACTGTGTTTCTTTTTGAAAAATACCTTCTTCTCTCTGATATAAATTGAGTTATTTATAAGGTTTATAAAAATTCGAGGGAAAGGAATTGAAATTAGATATCTAGATTCATATATACAATGTATATATGATATATGTTATATATGATTATATATATAAATCAATATAATCTATCTTGAGAAACAATTTTTGTAAGTAAAGATATAGCTAATTTTCGAATAGACACGTTATTTTCTTTAGTTTTTCACATAACAAAAATCAACTGTTATTTTACGATGGTGGTCTCAACAAAGCAATCATGGACAATTGGGAAGATAGAAATGTGATTTATAACTATCCTTTCCAAATATCCAATGAAAGCTGTTAAAAAGAACTCTTATAAATGAAACTTTTGAAAGAATTTATCACAATGTAAATATCGAGTCTTTGAGTTTTTAAGGTAGAGAGAAATTAGTGGCACAAATATAATTAAAATAACAAATATTTTGTCATTTAAAAAAGCCAAACCAACATTCTAATGCAATATAGATTTCTTCTGAGGATTCAGAACCGTTACCTTGATTTCTTATCACCATTTTAAAAACAGATTACTCCTATAGAAAAAAGTTCAAATTATATTTTTAGATTCTACCATAATTTTCCCCAGGAAATGAAATCTAAATTATATACTCACATACTCATTTGAAAGTGAAAGCACAGCTTGAAAAGCAAGAGTAAGAATGACAGGATTAGGAAATAGAGAAGTTGTTTTAGTATTGTCTTTTAAAAGAGAGACTGTTCTCAGGTCTCCATGGACATTTAGTAGTTTCAAAGCACAGTTAAGAAAAAAATTACTGTGGAGCTGAAGGTAGAGGACTGAGCAGTGTCACCACTTGATGCGGTCAGTGCTTCGGATGAAATAAGCAGTCACAATCTAGAAGGGTGTCTCTTTTTAAAAAGTCCACTCACTCCCTCATTCGTGCTCAATATCCTCTCCTTCAAAAGTTAAGCAAAACTTACCAAATAGAATTAAAGATTTGACATTTTAGCTGCTGAGACTGGGGTGGGATGCTATGTGATGAAAGGAGGTGATCAGTACCTGTGAGAGTAGAACAAGTGTCATGCTGGTGCAGGGAACTACAGAGCAACATATTCTTTTTCCCTTCTCTTTTTAAGAAGAGTCACCTGCTATTATCTATCTATCTAAGGTTAAGAAGAAAAGAGGAGGAGAAAGAATGGAGGGGAGATCGACTGATAACTTGGCATACTGGTCAAGTAGTAAAACAGTTATGGGGAACAAAATGGGATGGAAAGGTTAAATCAGAGAAGTATGGTGACACTGAAGTAAGAGAGAGCTGGCTCTAAAATGGTTATATCCAGCTTTGTGTAAAGTTGTGTCAAAGGCTGGACTTCAAGAATTCCTAACCCTGGTCTGATGCCAATCTTGTGTGAAATCCACCTATTGAAATGTGAAAACTTCACGCAACTGTTTCTGTTTGTGCAGCTGGTATGGCTGGGGTTGAACGTCTTCCTCTTTGTCTGGTACTACCAGGTTTATGATCTTCAAGATAAGTACTTTTACACTCGAAAGCTTCTTGGGGTAAGTATAAGTTTCATCTCATGCAATATTGACTGGTTCACATTTTAAATCAAAGATTCTTGTTTATATTCCTTTTGATATTTTCAGTAAATATTCTGACCAACCCAAACAGTACCATCAACCTCACTCCCTCCATTGCAACCCCCTCAGCAAGAGTCTTTAGACCTTCCAGTATGGGACAAACAAAAGTGTGGCAGAAGGTCCCAGAAGCATCCCTCCCCTCCCAAAAACAACTGGATAAGTGTTTAGCTTAGAGGAGAAATCTAATACTGGCTCTGTAATTAAAGGCGAGGTTGAAAAGATCAATCCAAGGGTGACACAGGTGGGACAAAATGAGACTTTCCATGTTCTCTAAATTATCTGATTCCTACTGCTTTTATGCATGGAGAACCCTGCTCCTAATGACATGTTATGAAACTATCTTCAGGAAATAAGCCTCTTCCTACATATGGAGCATTTGAGGAACTTGCCCAAGAGTCATATTTGTTGACTAAGCCAGCAGAGCGAAGGCCCCCAACATTTCCTGGATCCATTAGTATTCTGTTTCATTGAACTGCCAGGTCTCTTCTTCATCATAGATGAAAATAATTACAATTACAGCTACCCTCAGAACATATCATTTGCTACATCATCCTGAAACCATGAATTCATTACTTAACAATACTAATTATAATATGTATTATAAATCATTCGTATAAATAGTTATATCATTTTACTACATTTATTATGGTTGTTAACTCATTCAGGTTGACGCTAATAAGGATGATGTCTCTTCCCCCACGAAAACATGCAACTTCTTTAGGTATTTCAAAGGACAATTATAACACCAAAGCATTATATCATACCAGCTTAAGTTATTATTGAGATCAGTCTAAGTGCTAAGCAAAGCTCCTTAAAAAAACCCATTTCTATACTGAACTCTAGTTAACGATATGCATGCTTAAGTATTTAGGAAGAAGTGAACTGATGTCTGCAATTTACTTTGAAATGCATCAAAAATAAGATGTGTTGATGGAGGAATGGGTGGATAGATAGATACGTGATAAAGTAAGCATAGTGAAATGTAGAAGATGGAATCCAGGAGATGGGTAAACAGGTATTCATTGTGAAATGATTTCAAATTCTCTTTATGTGTGAAAATTTTCATAATAAAATGTTTGGGTGGGGGTAAGGGCCGGATCAAAACGAAGGGTCCCAGCAGACCCTAAAGGTAAACTCTTAGCTCAGAAGGACCTTCCTTTCCAGATTACTTGATATCTCTGGTGTGTGGGCCTCATGCTGAGAACCTTAGGGAATTAGGGAAGGGGAGGTGTTCTGTGCTCACAGGCTGTCACCTGCTCCCTCTCCTGCCTCTTCTAGTCAGCACTGGCATTGGCCAGGGCCCCTGCAGCCTGCCTGAATTTCAACTGTATGCTGATTCTGCTGCCGGTCTGTCGAAATCTGCTCTCCTTCCTCAGAGGTTCCAGTGCGGTAAGAGCAAACATTTAGAACGTTTGACTTCTTCGAACTTTCAAAGGCTAAATGCCCTTTCTTGGGAAAAGCAAATTGGTGATTTGTGAGGATTTCAGCCTCTGTAGAATATTCATGAGCCAAGCCATGCCTGATTCTGTAATTTATTTCTATATTATTTGTTGATGGAACTCCTTGGGTCAACCATTTAACCTTGAACAGATATTAAAATGACAACAATGAATCAACCTATACCTCAATAATAGCAATAAAACACATGTGCATTACATACACATACATATATAATATTATGTGTGTGTGTGTGTGTGTGTGTGTGTGTGTGTGTGTGTGTGTGTAAATGAACAGGGTTTTATGAGGCTGATGTAAATTTGGGAATTAATCTTACAGTGCCATGTTTTTCAAAAATTTTAAGTCAGAGAAAATACCTTCTGTGGATAATATCCCAAGCAGATGGAACCAATGGACAATGAGTCACACTGTAGTGAAGGTGATTAAGAGGTGTTGGGTCCATGCAATTGAGTAATTCAGAGTTTTCTAAATGCCCAGGGCTCCTTTCGCCCTCATTTCAACAATTTTGTGATCCCCTGAATGTATTATGCTAGAAGAAAAAAAAAAAGATTATGTAGGAAGAACTTCTGTAACCTATTAAGTAGTATATAAATTTCTTATTGATATTATTATACAAAGATGAGAAAAAGGGAACTTACAATCTAGACACATACTCAAATAAATGGGTTTCATAAAATGGTACAAATAAGGAGCTACAGGGAATAGAAGGCAGAGGAAATGAGATGGGGCAGGGGGATGAAGAAAGGCTTCTTGGAGAGATGGCATTGGATATGGGCGTAAAAAGATAAAATAAGCCTCTAGGAGATATAAATGAGAGAGAAAGACATTGTACTTGAAGAAAATAGTGTAGGCAAAAGCATAGGAAGTGGTGAGGAAATTGTATTCTTGAAAGCCTGAATAAGTATGACTTTTGGCTTCTCTTTGGACTTTTTTGCCATTCCTGACCACATCAAAGAGGGTAGTTCTTCCAAAGTTAGGGATGGATGCCCTGGTGAGACCCATTCCACTGACTCATTAGTAACTAGTAGCTTCTGTTTTCTTTTTTAGTAAAATGTATGATTTTCATATTAACTAGCTTTTTAAGAAAATTACCTATTAAGTAGAGATCATTCCTAGAGAAGAACAGCAAGCAATCTACTTTGATGGCAATGTAGGGATTGTAAAGGGCAGATGTCTGGGGTAAGGCTGGAGAGGAAGCTGGAGATTGGCTAGTAAACTAGGACCTCAAATGTATAGCTGAGGAGTTAATGCCTAATTTGGTGATCACAGAATATTTGGGGGAAGAAAAGTTGTCTAAACTGTCAATAACAAGTAGAACTCGTCTTGAACTCTGCCTTATTTTTTCTAGTCATACTAAATTCACATTGATCCTAAGTGGAAATTTTTTTTATTTAAGAACTATACAACACTTGATTTACTGATACAAGATCAGCAGGCTACAACTAACAGTAGACAATGATTACAAGTATTTCCAAATAATCTTCTCAACCTAGGAAACCACAGAGGATAAATTTCATTTGCTTGAAAGTTTTACTGATGAGCCACTTGTAAAGTACAATGTCTGGTATACTGTAGGTACCCCGTAAACATTTGCTAAATGAAGCCCATGTACTGTAGCCTTTCGTTTTTAAGGAAACATGATTAATTTTTATTCTTCCCCTGCCCCCTGTTCGAATACTGTGTATTTAGAGGAAGTAAGCCCTGAGAAACAGGCAATGTTTTCACTAGGATGGCCTGTTAGGAAATCCTTGTTACTCCACAGGCCCAAATTGCACTGCCGTTGAGCTACCATGCCCCGTGATCAGTGCATGTTGCAATGGCCACTTTTAGGCTTCCTGTGATCCAGGAGGGAAAATCCTCATGAAGGTCTCTAAAGACAGGGATGAAATGAGGCTGCTATTCAAATTGCAGAGAAGCTCAGCTTTGTGACCAGAGAGACCTATTTGTAAAAGAATATACATTTTTAAAATTAGAACTTTGCAAATGAAATTTATTTCCTGATTGGGTTTAAAATGAGTGTGTTGTGACTAATGTTGAAAATCATAATAGCTACCACTTATTGAGTCTTCATAGACCTCACCTCATGAAATCTGCACATAAATCCAGTGAGGTGAAGATGAAATTAAATGAGAGTGTTGGGATTCAAACTCAGGTCATTGTACCCCCAGAGTCCATTCACGTCCCTACTGTGACCTACACATAAAACTATACTGTTGTGCTGTTATGATCTTAGAAAATCCATCACATAGATGAATGTTTGAGCATGCTAAATAGCCTAGGCTAGAATTGGCAAGGATGTTGTAATTTCAAGGACTGGTTAGTAAGACACTATGCAAATTAAACAGTCACAGGACTTTCATTCAGTTTCTAGTGGTTTTAATCATTTAGACTTTGCTTTATAATCCTTCTGGTTACCTGGAGAAAGAAAGCTGCAGGTTTGACTCAGCCCAGAAAGACTGGGGTAAAGACTCAGCCTACTTTGTTGAGGGACATGTGGAAGGATGGGGCTCAGCATAACCCCAACTTGCCATGCAGAAGCTAAGTTCTAACTGGATGGAAGTCCTAGTCTTAAAATCAGAAAGATATAGGAAGGTGAGAGAATGAGCTCCTATTCGTAACCTTATATAGTCAGAGTCAGAAACCCTCAGTGTGGTTCTTTCTCTAACCATGTGGTCTAGGGCAAGTCTCTTGGACTTCCTGTCTCATAGTTCTTTTGTTTTCTTTTTAGCTGAAAAGAAAAAGGTGGGAAAATGCAAATGTAAGAATGAATATGACCTTCTAAAAGTATATTAGTTGATTAAGCCTGTCAACTAGTGAGGTCAACAAATATTTAATGAGTGCCAGATATGTGCTAAGCACTGGGGAAACATGATGAGTAAAGAATAAAACATAGTCTACGGCCATACCACCCTGAACGTGCCCGATCTTTTCTGATCTCGAAAGCTAAGCAGGATCAGGCCTGGTTAGTACTTGGCTGGGAGACCACCTAGGAAGACCGATTACTGTCTGCGTTAACAAAAAAAGGATAAAACATAGATGGGCTATGAGCTCAAGGAGCTTAAAGTTTTATGAAGGAGATAAAGAATAAACACATAATTTGAAAATTGTAAACAGTGCTGTACAAATAAAGTAGTGTTCTTCATATTTATCACATTCTACTGCCGCCAGGTTTGGACAATACTGTCAGGTTCTTCCCCTGAGTTTTGTTAGCTGCAAGGCTGGCTTTTGCAATTTCTCCCAAATTGCACATGAGTATCTTATTCAGATTCATTCATGGCGTGTGTGGTGAGACCAGGGGTACCTAAAATAGAATTTTTAATTTTCTGTAACTAACTCATGTTACAGAAGCTCATGTTATACCCCATTAAATGTGTACTTCTTTTTAGGTCCATTTCTCAATTTTTCGAATTTTTTTTTTCTTGTAGTTTGCATAGAGCATAGAAATCTGCTGAGATGACTCAGTAATCTCCCTTCCAGCTGAATGTTAGTTTATTGAGATCGGGCAAAGCTCTAGTTGACAGTAACACAGAAACTTCCATTTAGGAGGCAAAGGCCAAAAGCTAAGAGGTGGTTCAGTGAGGAAGATATGGGGCATGATGGCAGCTTTGGTAATTTATAGGCGGCTGGCAATAATTCAGAAGTGACTCAAAAGCATAAAAATTATACCTGTGTGGTGGAGAGGAACAAAAAAGCCCTGGACAGTCACAGGCAGCAAAGACTTTCCTTCTCACCCACCAACTGTCTGTCTTGCCCCCTTTTCAAGAAATGGTAAAGAAATTGTATCTGGAAACCCCATATAAGCATGACATCTGGCTTCTCTTTGGATTTTTTTTTTTGTCAAACTCGACCACGCTGTGGATGGTAGCTGGGAAAAATTAGAGATTGATCCATTCCACTGGCCCATTGGTGACTAATAGCCTCTATTTTTTTTTCCTTTTAATAAAATGTATTTGTTTCACATTAACTAGCTTTAAAAAAATTACCTATTAAGATCAGAGTATTACTGAATGGACCTTGCATTTCCCAAGCACATCTCTCCATTGTTCTGGCATTCGCTTTATTTTTCTCTAAGGTTCTGTTGCTCTGGCTGTTAAGGGGCATTGAAATCTATTTGATATTTTTGATAATCCATGTTGATGATAAGGACAGAACTATGTAGACAATGTACAGACCAAGACAAAACTACATTCCTTTTCTTCAAATTCAGGATGGAGAAGCCAGTATATCTTTTTTCCCCAAGAGTTTCAGAATGATTTGTCAGGAAGTAGAAAAGAAAACTGTGTGGCAAGTATAAATATGTGGGTAAATATATCTCTTTAGGTTTAGAATAATCATCTTAGATTCCAGGACAGTGAAAATTTAATTCATTTAAATAATTATGAAAGGATTTTAGAAAGTACATGACATATTGCTCTGCATACAGGAAGCTTACCTTCTAGCTGGGGATCCAAGCCATATTAAATGAAAGGTTAAATAATGATATTAAAAATAAAAATATTTATTAAATACCTCTCAGTGAATCTATGAAAAAGACCTAAGTGAGAATAACTATGATAAATATGTAAGTGAGGAAATGAAATTGAGTACATTGTTCAATGTCACAAAGCTATGTGGTAGGGCTGTAATACAACACAGGTATATTTATTTCATGGCAAAACTTGCTGTCTGAAATGTAATTCAGTGCTGCTTTCTGACCCTACTAATTTCCAATCGTGTTCCATCACTCCAATAAGGACTGTATTAATTATCTATTGCTGTGTAATAAATTTCCACAAACACAGTGGCTTAAAACAACCTCAATTTTTTAGCAAACAGTTCTGTAGGTCAGAAGTCCAGCATCCTCTGCTCAGGGTATCACAAGGCTGGAATCAAGGTGTCAACTGGGCTGAATTCTCATATGGAAACTCTGGGTAAAAATCTTCCAAGTTCATTCCTCTTAGCAAAATTCAGTTCCTTGTATTTGTAGGACTGAGGTCCCTGTCTCCTTGCTGATGATCATCCAAAGGCCACTCTCAGATCCTAGATATCCCTGTAGTGCTTGTCATGTGGCCTTGTAACTGCAGAATCAGCTCAAACTGGTCCTATCCTTTATTAACAAGACCCAGAACTAAAGTTTACACCACTCATGAGTAACACTTGTGAACCCTTAAATACTCCCCACCCACCCCACTGATGGAACTAAAGGACCAGGACATGACTGGAAACTGAGCGCCAGAAATCTTTCAGACACAAAGGGTCCAATGTCTAGGAAGATTCGGTGCTGAAATCTCTTAAAATCCTGCCCCCAAACTCGGGATTGGGAAGCAGATTTGAGCCTTGCCTCTTGTCTTCTTGCCAGTCAACTCTCAGATAAGAGCCTTTTCTTTTCTCAGAAGCCAATGCCATAGTATTGGCTTCTGTGTGCGTTGGGCGCCAAGCCCTTGGTTGTAACAGCCTCCTACATCTTCAGCCCAACAACAGTGCATCAAATAGTTCTCATGCCTTGAATCTCTGACTTCTAGACCCTGATTTAAAGGACTTATTTGATTGGGTCAGGTTTATCCAGATAATCTGTCTCTCTCTTAAGGTTAATTTGGGACTTTAATTACTTCTGCAAAGTCCCTTTTGCCATATAATGTAACAAAATCACAGGAGTGGCATCCTATCATATTCATAAGTCAGGTCCCCACCCACACTTAAGGAAAAAAAGATTATATCAGGTTATTGAGAATCATCTTAGAATTCTGCCTACCACAAGGACTCTAAGAAACGATTGGGAAACAGGAAAAAGATATTTCCTTTAAATTGTAAAGAATCCAAAGTAGTAAAACAAAGCACAGAACTTGAACAAACACAAAAGATAACAAGGCTGTATAAGAAAACAAGGACAGTCGATTTTTCACCAACATAAATATAAAATAAGTGATTTCAAACAGGAAACCCTTGTTTTGAGATCCTGAGTCACTGCTGAGCTCAGTGATAGCTGATGCTGTTGGCGTTCCACCCATATTCCCTTCACAATGTCAGTTCCAATACATGGAACAGCTGCCTTCTGGAAGCCCCAGTCTTTCTCTGCCAGAGGATTTTCTTTCAACCCTCTCCTGGGGCAAGCCTGAAATGCCAGGGTGCTGATGCCCTGGGAACAACCCTCAGGCAGTCATAGATGCAAGTTGTTGGATGAATACCCAAGGTTCCTAACTCTTTAGGAAAGAAAACAAAATGAGAACTCTAAAGCATGTTCTACACAGTCTCCCAGAATTCCCTGATCAGAGAGCCCACTGATATATGATATGACAGTGGCAGCTGATAAGATAGTACACCCTTTATTGGTTTCCTTCTCTTCCTAGTCTTACTTACCCTAACCTTGTCTTCTGTGATCACCTTCCAGATAGAATACTTACACTTAAATTCTTGTCTTGGGTTTTTAGACAGGTAGAATAATAATAACTATATCTTTACATTTGGTTTGGTGGAAAAGGGCATGAACCTTTAAAGACGAATAGACTGGATTCCATCCGACATGAGATTTAGCTTTAGTTTCATTAACTGTAAAATGAGAACAATAATACTTATTGCATGAAATGAGGCACTCAATGAAGGTTAATTCTTTTTTCCTTTTTCTGAAATCCTCAATATCTTCCTCACTCTATTTCTGCGGGCCCAGGAATCTGCTCTCCTGGTTCAAACAGCCTGCCCTCCCTAAAGGTAGCTAACTGAGAAATAGTGAAATAAACACAATTTTTCACAAAATTACATTTTTCTATAAAATCAGAACACTTTATTAAAAATAAGTAAACCCTTATATTTAAATTGAATACCTTAGACCCAGATATTTATAATACCTAAAGTTTTTTTGTTTATTTGTTTGTTTGTTTATTTTTGGCACTTCACTCTAGCCTCCTAAAAGTTCTCTGAATTTCAATAGCAGTACATCTAGTCTCGGGAGCAAAACAGCCAGAGTGAGCATTTGACCAGTTTTCAGGAGGGCAAAGCTCTGATTCAGCCATAAACTAGGTTTTGTTTTTTCTTTTCTACTTTGGGCAATTACCTGAATCCAGATTCAAACCCGCATTTTCTTATGTATGCCATTAGGGCAGTTAAATTAACATATTGACCAAAATACTATTTTTAATGTCAAAGTATTCATATAAGGTATGAAATATCAGAATATTGATATCTTTGACATCAGACAGGCTCAGTTTAAATCTCAGCTCTGCCACTTATTAACTATGCAACCTAAGGCAAGGTAACCTCCCTCTGCCTTTGTTTTCTCATGTGTTATACAGTAATAATAATGGTACCTCCCTGATAGGATTGATATAAAATGAAATGTGTCAATGCACGTGAAACACTTAAAGCAGCTCCTTGCATAAGCTCTTTGTAAATATTAACTATTATTATTTGTGCTATTATTTTTTTTAATGATCTCTCCTTGTGATGTTATCTCTATCAACATAGACAGGTGAACTATTTTTTCTACCCCCATAGAGTATGTCCTAGAAGAGTCGAATTCTAAAACTATTCACTTGTCCTAGAGCTGTTCACTTGTCTGTGTCCCCATTAGACTATTAGATCTTCGAGGGCAGGCTTGTCCTTTGTTAATTTCTATATCCTCTGTTTATTAAATAAATTAATCTGAACTAGAAATTATGTGGTTAGATATGTTTTCTGTACAAATTCATATTTTATACAATTAAGCAACAGATTCCGAGAGAGACTTTATGTCACTGGTAAGAGAACATAAAACATACTGATTAAGCCAACTATGCCACTTACTGGCTGTTCGACCTTGGGAAGATGACTACATCTATTCGAGCCTGTTTTCTCATCTATGGAATGGTATAGTTTTTAGGGTGGCTGTGAAAATTAAATGAAATCATATGTATCTAATGCCTAGCACAGAAAAAATCTTCTTGTTAACAAGTACTATTTCATTCTTTTCTCTTTAATCCGAAGTGCTGCTCAACAAGAATTCGAAGACAACTAGACAGGAACCTCACCTTTCATAAAATGGTGGCGTGGATGATTGCCCTTCATACTGGTAAGCTTATTAAGATATTTGAGATTGTGAAGAAAACTTGGAACCAGAAAGCTCCCTCTCTTCTTAGATACTTTTTAAAATAGGAAATCAGCCTTTATAGGCATATTAAGTGGCAATTAGATATGTTGTATTTTTAATGAGTTGTGTTTAAAAATATTCACCCTTATTTCTGCCATTCCAATATTAGGATTTATTCCCTCATATCCTAATACTTTTTTATCCTTAGCCTCTTCTGATAAAATTCCTGTGTCTTTGCCCCTTTTCACCCTTTTTAATATAAAAAATGTTTGTTAGTCCACATATGATAGCTTTTATTCATTCATTTAAAAAATACTTGTTTGAACATGTAGATTTGTGGTGGTGGCATTGGCACAAGAAGGGATGTATTTGGTATAGCAACTATAGTTAATAATACTATATTGCATATTTGAAAGTTGCTAAAGAGTAGATCTTAAAAGTTCCCATCACAAACAAACAAATTCTATAACCATGTGTGGTGATGGATGTTAACTACACTTATTGTATGATCATTTTGCAATATATACAAGTATCAAATCCTTATGATATACCTGAAACTTATGTAATGTTGTAAGCCAATTATACAATTAAAAATGCAATTCAAAAGAGAAAAAAGAAAGAAGGAATGTGTCTGCGACCCTTATCAAATCTCCATTAAGTCACTTAATATATAGTTGATGTGCCAGACAGTAGGCATGCATACATACACAGTGATGAACATAATAGACTTTTACTCTGCCTTTAAGAGTCTTGTCCCTAATCTGAGTAAAATAGATTTAGATTGCAGGCACTCAAATGAGTTTCTCATCTCTTGCTTGTAGATCATGCAGGCTTTTTCAGCTGTTGTAAATGAAATGTTTCAAAAGTGAAATGTATGATAAAATCTTGTTAGAAAGCAACATAGTATAACCGTTAAGAGCACGGGGTTGTGGGTCAAACTGCTTGCATTTGCTTCTTAACTCTGCAACTTCCTAGCTTGCTAACCTTGGGCAATATTTTAAAGCAATCTATGCCTCAGCTTCCTTATCTGTAAAATGAAATGATAATAGTATCTACATCACTGGCTCATAACGATTAAGTGATTATAAAGCACTTATGGCATCTAGTAAGTCCTATGTAAGTGTTAATAAAGAATGAAATTTTTAAAAAAGAGTTTCCTTCTTATGGCCATCGATTTGTATCAGTTTAATATAATTTTGTCATCTCTCTCTGGAATAATGTCAGAGTCAGGTGAATGGAACAACCAAAGGCATGCGTTGCAGGAGAGTCTTCTTATTTGAGCACAAATATATCAGGTGGAGAGAGACAATGAGAACATATCTAAACATCCTCAGAGACCAAGGTTATTTTGTAGAATCTTAGAACTTGGTTGGGTCTTCAGGATGATGTAGTTCAACACCTTCATTTCGCAAACTAGGAAACCAAGACCAGAGAGGTTAAGTGATTTGCCTACAATCACACAACTGGAGAATAGCCTACCACTAGAATGGCTTTGCCTCTGTGGTCCTGGAGACCCAGTTCTTGTTTATAAGTGTCCTTGGCCATCCTTGTGTCTCCTTGTAACTTTTCATAGAGGCAGAGATCATAGGCAAACCAGCTTACAGTAAAATTGTGCACACCTTTCACTCTTTGTTTCTCTTTTCTGCCCTCTTTAGCGATCCACACCATTGCACATCTATTTAATGTGGAGTGGTGTGTAAATGCCCGAGTCAACAATTCTGATCCTTACTCAATAGCACTCTCTGACATTGGAGATAAGCCTGGTGAAACTTACCTCAATTTTGCTCGAGAGAGAATCAAGGTAAGCCTCTTATTTGCTGATTTTGATGTTTCCTAGATCGTTAAAACTGAGGGCTAGATTTCAGTGAATGAAGAACTTTGCTTAGCCAGAACAACAGCAATGACAAAAGTTGACTATCAGAGGAACACGTCTCTGGGTTCTAAGAAAATGAGTACAGAGAAACTGTGTCCCATACTTCTGATCCCGTGTACGGAGAGTCAGTAGATGTTTTCCAGTTCGTTAAGCTCACCCGTGAGAATGTGTGTGCGTGGAGCTTGGAGTAATTCAAGCTCACCACGATGAGGCTGAACAGTCAAAGAAAGCCAGGAACACACATTTAGTTGAACAAAGTTGGGTTCAATTACTTACTGCAGTAAAAGAAACCCCATACCATGAGGAAGTCTGGGGCATTTCAAGAGCATGTTAAGAGAGGCTTGCTATAAGATTTGGACTTGTGTTAGATAATTTGAGAGGGGCTTAAGGAAGCAAAGATTTGCTCTGGATCAGGAATGGTCAGGAATTGGGGGTGGTTCTAGGATTTGGTATTTTAATTGTTTTCTGGGAGGCACAAGGGCATAGCACGGGCTAAATCTGTAATAAGTAAAGAAGCAGCAGTCACCCATGTTTTTGTCTTGGTTCAGACATGATTTTGGACTGTTCTTAGTTTTGTCTCACTCTGTAACAGTCACACAATGATGCTGCCGTTCTACGAAATTGTTTTTGTGATATAGGGAACGCTCTAACCTAGATTTTAGTACCAGACCAGCCAACAGCTGACAACTGTCAGTGATGCTTTTGTCCTTCCTACAACATCTAAGGGCTGGCCTATGTCTGCTAATTGTCATTTCTTGAGAAGCATAGTGCGCTGGGAGTAACTCAGCGGCCCTCCAGGGGCAGCCATTTGAGGGTATCCATAGGCAAGGACTTCTTTCCTTCCAGCAATTGTTGAAGCTTCCTAAACTCAGAGGGAAAAGCTCCAAGTTATCTTTATGGGCCTGTGGCTTGGGAGGACGGCCAAATCACTTTACTATACACCGAATTCCAAACATGTTTCCTTCTGTTTAGAAAATTTTGCAAGAAAAATCCCTTAATTCTGCAGAAATAATTACCCTCAGGCTGACATGAGAAAACTTGCCTGGTCTACTTAGGGACAGAATGAAATAGCATCAAACAAAACAGGAATTCTTTCTCTATAATGTCTTGGGTAATTTCTCTTTTGTATTGTTCACTGTACAATGATATATAAGGGTGGCATTGTGAACATACTAGGTGAGTGAGCCAATACTGCCACGTTGCGCCCACATGTCTTTGAATCATTTTTACAGTGTCTGTGCTCCTCCACCCTTCTGCATGCTTTCACTTTCAATTTCCTGTACAAGTGTGTCTTCCTCAGAGGACCGCCCTGGGGCTATTGGAGTCCCTTTGCCCAGATCAGAGATCTGGAACGGCGTGGATAGCTACTTCTCCCAGGGTAGCCATTAGCCAATAACTGATGGGTACAAGCTGTGAAAGCCCAGCTTCTTTGCTTGAGTCAGGATAAACTCTGAGGTGTAACTTACCCTCCACAGTTCCCCTGCAGCATCAGGATAAAGCTACCGTCTATAAGATGGCCTGAGATAGCCCTCTTTCTTGACTTGTTCCTCTTTTTTCTGTCCCATCAACCATTCCCTTACCAGTTTCTTCAGGAGAACAGCCTTTTTAAATCACTTGCCCATGAATTTTCATTTCAGAGTCTCCTTTGGGAAAATGCAACCTAAGATGTTGGACATGGCCTGAATTTGCAAACTAAGCACTATGGCCATTTCCAAAGCAAAGGGAGAAAGATCTCGAGCCCCTTTTAGAACATCTTATAATAGACTAATTTCCTTTATTTGATACTCCCTTAGAACTATTTCAGTATATCAATTCATATTTCCTATGACACTTCAACTACGTAAGACTTTTTGAAATTGAGAAATATCTATTCCAAGTCTTCATCACTCTGTGAGGGATGGTTAGGGTTATCTAAAGGGAGAATGAAAATACCTATTGCCCTACACACTGGACACTTTATATATAGGTAGTCCTGCATTTGAGAGCCTACAGATAATGCATATATGTATTTATATTTTACAGAACCCTGAAGGAGGCCTGTACGTGGCTGTGACTCGATTGGCAGGCATCACTGGAATTGTTATCACACTGTGCCTCATATTAATTATTACTTCCTCCACCAAAACCATCCGGAGGTCTTACTTTGAAGTGTTTTGGTACACACACCATCTTTTTGTGATCTTCTTCATTGGTCTTGCCATCCATGGAGCTGAGTGAGTGTTTAAACTTTAAGGCCAAGTACTTTAGTTTCCAGGTGCGATGCTCTGTTAGAGGCACAGTGACCTTGTCTGTGTGTGATCAACCTCTCTTCTGAGGGAATATGAGGGAACAGCAGAGGTCAGTGTGAAAGAAACCAGTTAGCAGCACTTTATTATTTTAGTTTCTTACATTCAATTAATAGCTATGCATAGTGCCACTATTTATAGCAAGCTAGAAAATATACCAAAGTTTGAATATCTTTGGAATCTTATAAAACATGTAGAGAGTCCTGTAGGGTCTTGGATGTCTGCAATGATGTTTCCTGTGGCTTAATCACTAGTATATTAGACAAACTCTCAAACTAGAAATGTTAATGATTAATCATTTGAAAGGGTTTGCTGTATGAGTTTTGGTCTGAGCCAATTATTTATTGATTGCCAGCTGGGAATGAGAACTGATCTCAGGAACTGTGGGAATTACTAGAAGGAAAAATACATGGTTATTGCCTTCAAGCATTCTAATATAATAAAGGTAAGAGCTAACTTCTCAGCATTTGTTATAGACACAAAATGTTTCTTTTAATTACCAAAAGGTAGAGGTGCTCTTACTATCCCCATTTCCTGGGGAAATTGTAGACAGGGAACCAGGCTTAAAAGAAAGGTAAAAGATGTAGGCCAAGCCACCCAGTTTGTAAGTGACATAGCTGAAATTGGAGCCCAGGTGGTCTAAGGCAGACTGTGATAAATGCTCTCAGAGACACACTGTGACTGGGCTGTGGTTGGGAAAGTTTACCTTATTGAGAATCCTCTTTAATACCAGATTTCTTTTTTCTGCTGTTTCACACTAGCTGATTCTCCTACCTGCATACAGAAGCAGGCTTGGGGAAGTTCATTGGTGAGAATGGGGCTCCAGATAACTAAGGGTGGAGGAAGTAGATGCTTAAGACTCATTGACTCTGCTCAGCCAAGTCGTCTAGAAGTGGCCAAGTGTTGAAAGGAGAAGGGTAGGGAGAAGCAGTATTGAGCAACACTTGTGTGCATTCGTGATTGACTTGCCGACTGACCTCCTGATCAAGTCTTTCTACACACTGGAAAATCTGTGTAGACAAATAATCTCTTGATTCTCCAAAAGCAATTGAGTATATTTAAATGGGACTTGATCATAATCTAGCTGTGTCAGAGAACCCTAGAGAAAAAAAACACATATCTTTCCCTCTCTTGTTTAGTAATTCCACCACTTTACATTTGTATAGTTTCATAGGTATGCATTTTTCTTGGAACCTGGAAGAGGAGATATATATTTACCATATTCTCCTTTTGAAGAGAATCTGCTACTTGTACTGGTTAACTGATTGCTCAGTCTCATGGCTAGATAGCAGATGAACTGGAAAGAAAATACAAGTTTTCCAATTTCTGCTCCTGGCATTGAGAAGAGGAGAAAATCAGATTTCTTTTTCTGTTACTTCCTCTCCATGTGAACTAGGTCATTAAGAGCTTTTTAATAGTTATCATTTGTTGGACCCTTACTTTGTGTCTGGCATTCATTGTGCATCATGCCAATTGATTAATAAAATAAACTTTTGATGAGGTCCTACTATACCAGTTTTACAGTTGAAGAAACTGAGGCTCAAAAGAAATACAATAACTTGCCCAAGACCACCAATAAGGGGAGGACCTGGATTTTGAAACCAAGGCTGTCTGGCTTGAGTCCAGAACTGTTTGCACCAAATCATTCTGTTTCTAGTTACCTACTCTCTCTAAGCCTCCATTTTCCTCATATGTGAAATGGGAGCACTAATACTTACCTTTCAAGCTTGTTATGAGTATTAATTGAGATAATTTGTAAACAGTGCCTTTCCCCAGGCCTGGCACATAATAAATGTTTCATACAAGGTAATTCTCTTCCCCAAGACCCAGAGATAGAAAAGGATGGTTAATGACCTTGGTACAATAAATTTTAGGTCCCCCAAGCAAACTTTTTCAAAGGGCCTTTTATGTCTCTTTTTATTATATATTCTGAAGACCCTGCCATTTATGTTCATTGAGGTCAGGGACATGATTTATTCAACTTTGTGCCTTCCTTCCTCCCTCCTTCCTTCCCTCCATCTGAATCCACATTGTCTTAAGTTTTAGTAGTTGCTCAATTAATATTTATTGAAGTAAAAGGGCTCTGAGCACTTTAAAAAACACACCATCAGTGTTCATGTCTGTGAGAATATCTTAATCCCCACAAAGTTCAGTCTTCTTACATTGATTTGAAACTTTTGGTTTAATTTAGACAATTTATTTTTATTTCTTCATATTTTTTAATTCAATTTTTATTTTATTTTTACTAAATTTGGGGGGTTATATTAGTTAATAAAATTATATAGGTTTCAAGTATATAATTCAATACTACATCATCTGTATATTGCATTGTGTGTTCACCACCCAAAGTTAAATCTCCTTCCTTCACCATATATTTGACTCCCTTTACCTTTATCTACCTCTCTCCCACTCCCCTTTTCTTCTGGTAGCCCCTAAACTGTTCTCTGTGTTTATCAGTTTTTGTTTGTCTC